AAAAAACCGACTTGGAAAAATTGCATGGTGGAAAGAATAGCACTTTGCTTAAGGAACTAGAAGCAATAAAATAGCATTAGGGTTCAAAGAGGGATTCAGGGCTGAAAGCTTCTCTCCTTGAATGCTGCCTTCAGAACTTCACAACTGTCTCAGCTAAGAAAGCTGAATCCGCCAAGATGGAGTTTCTGGAAGACTTATGTGATAAGCATACTTTCTTTCCTGATACTGGTCATTCGTGTTGCTTCTCTTTTTTTTTGATCTTTCTAAAGAACTAACTTTGCCTCTGTTAATTTTTTCTATTGTTTTCTGTTTTCTATTGCATTGACTTCTGCCCTTATCGTTTATATTTTCTTCTTTCTACTTACTCTGGATTTACTGTGCTCTTTGCTTTTTATCTTCATAAAGTAGAACTTCAAGTCACTGATTTCAGGCCTTCTTTTCTGATAGAAACACACTTAACGCTATAAATTTCCCCCTAAGCACTGCTTTAGCTTTACCCCACAAATTTTGTGCTTTCATTAACCTTCAGTTCAAAATATTTTTGACTTGTGATTTCTTCTGACAAATCTATCATTTTTAGATGTGTTAATTTCCAAACATTTGGTACTTTTCTAGGTCTCATCTTGTTAAGGTTTTCTATGTAAGCTTACTGTGCAGAGAACACATTCTGTCTGATTTCAAACCTTTATATTAATGTCTTGATAGAGATGTGTTGAACAGCCCAGGTTGTGGTCTATCTTGGTGAACATAACACATGCAGTTGAAGAGAAAGTGGATTTTGCAGGTGTTGAGATAATAATATTCTACACCCTTCACTCAGGTGAAGGTAGGCAGTTGTCTCAGTACTACTGAGATCATCTACATCTAGACTGATGTTTGTGTACTTGTTCTATCAGTGGCTAAAAAATGGGTGTTAAAATCTCCAACTATCACTTCCAATGCCAGCCATGATGGATAACAATTTACATTCCTACCTTCACTCCAGAAAGACAAAATATCTCAAACAACAGTTTTCAAACCATAGACAAGAAACCTAAGTCAATTAGGTTGTGGGAATAAAACTAACAAAATGTCCTAATAAATGTGTGACAAATGTGATTGGATCGATATGTTTATAAAACGCTTAAGGCCTACTTAGCAGACTGAGACCGTTCTGCAGCTGGAATGGGTGTTGAAGAAGTGGAACTCGACTGGAAAGGTCTTCCACCTATGGGGCGGTGAGGGCAGGGGGAACGGGGTTGGGGTGGAGGGAGGAAGGGCAGGTTGCAGCCGCTGCAGTGCTGTCACTGTCACCACCAACCTGTGTCACTTGGAGCAACAATCACAGTGGATCCAAACTTTGACCTTTATACCAAGATAAAATTCCAAGCGGATCAAACACTTCAACATCAAAATTGAAATGACACAGTATTAGAAGAAAACCTAAGGAGAGCACAGGCCATCATTAACTAAAAAAAAAAAAATCAAAAATTTTTCATGAAAAAAGTGCCACAAGCAAAGTCAAAACAAATTAAAAAAGAAAAAGCATTTCTATTTTATTTCAAACAAAGGGCTAATGTCCCTAATTTGGAAAATATTCCTACATATGGATAAGGAAAAGACTGACATCCTACTAAGAAAATGGGTAAAGAAAATGAGAATGCACATAAAAGAAAGAAAGGGGGCCGGCTGAGTGGTGCGTTGGTTAAGAGCTGGCTTGGGATGTCAGAGGACCCTGGTTCGGATCCCACATATGAGGGCCAGTGATACTGCCCTATACAGCTAAGATGCTGAACAACAGCTCAACCTGGAGCTGGGCTGCCGTGAGTCGACGGTGACGGCGGCAGCGTAGGCTGCAGCCCCTGCTGCAGTGGGTTGCCATGGGCTACCGTGTGTAGCCAGCAGCTGCAGTGAGCGGCCGTCCAGAAGCCGGCGACTGATGTGCCTCACCCGGGAAGAGCACAATGATGGTGCCAACTTGGGCCAGTGAAGCAACGTCCTCCACAACTAGACTGAAGAACAAAAGGACAGCAACTTGTCTGTTGCCCTTCCCCCAATTCCCCAGTACTGTTCCCATCCCCCAATTCCCCAATAAAAATCTTTAAAAAAAAAAGAAAAAAAGGGTCCTCAACATACAAAAAGATGCTCAACATCATTACAAGAAAAACAGAAAGTAAAACTATACAGGGATATAATTTTAAACCTTGGCAGGACTGACAAATCCCCAAACTTTGACAGCACGCCCCGTTAGCAACAATGCAAGAAAGCAGGTGCTGTTGAAACCTGTCAAGGGGCGTGTAAATGGTACGACATCCATGAAGGACGACACGGAGGAGCCGGTCAGCTTATAAAAGCACACTCCCCTGGACCCAGTAACTGCATGCGGGAATTCATCCAATAGTCACACTTACCCACATGCAGAATGGCATTTGCACGAACAGAGCTATTTACTGCGGCATTTCATCTTTATGAAACATTGGACACAGCCTGAACGTTCACCAGTAAGGGGCTGATGAAATAAACCTGCTGTCATATATTCATCCACTGGAAGAGGGAAAGAATGAGGAGGTTCTCTGCGCACTGATAGGACAGATCTCAGAAACGTGCTACTTACTAACAAAGCGAGAAGCCGGCATGTGGCGGAAGGAAGAACTGCGGCCCTGTTTAGGGATGGGCTTGGAGTAACTCGGGGATGGCTGAGAGGGAAAGGATGCATTTTCATATTGGAATGATATGAATGTATTATCTCCCCCCAAATTAAATGTATCACTTAAGTTATTCACCCAGGCAGTTATCTCAACTGTACTGCCATCCTGCTAACGGGCGAGAGCACACCTTGGTGGGAAGATCATCCAGGTGACCCTGGCAACTCAGGTTTCGATGGACACTCAGCTAAGTTTCGTGTCAGCAGCTTTCTGGGCAGGCAAAGTTCAGTTATTTCTCCAAAATAACTTAACAAATCTCTACATCTCTTCTCAAACAGCTAAAGAGAAACAGAAAAAGATGAACTAACTTCACTTCTCTATCATGCAGCTCAGTGGTACAAAATTCAGCTTATGTAAAACCGGGTCAAACTCTGCTCGCTGAAATGAGGTCTCTACGTCCTCCCTGCAAAGTTAACTGCACACAAACGGCGTCATGGCCTGAGCACTGCTGAATATGCCTTTTCTCTCTCTGCAATCCTAACACCATCCCC